ATACTTTGCATTTAATAGAATATCCTTCATACTCATTTTTACTTTTAGTCATACAATCTAAATTTACGTTAATAAAATCTCTTGTATGTATGTATGTTGTCCACATATTTAGTTTAAATCTATGAAAAGGTGCTGTACAGAGAACTTCACAGAGTTTGGTTTCATTATATGTTGAAGCGAGTAAGGGTTTTTTTGCCAGTACTGACAAAGACACAGAGAGTTCGATTTAGATATCTGTTCTATAGTTACATTATCAGCAAGTGATTGGCTTTTTGAAAGCAAGTTCACTTTCCATCACGTGAATTTTAATAAATCCACCAATTATATGTACCAGTTTTTTTTTTTGTATTTTATCTAATTTAGATATTTGTTTCAGAACTATTGTCATATATAGAAAACTAGTGTAACCAATGCGACTTCGAATTAGGGATAATAATGTATAATTATAATCTCTTCACATGTGTTTGATGTACGAGTACACCCACGTAGAGCCAACTAAAACTTTTAACAAGTTTAACAATTTCAACGATTTTTCAACAATTTCATTTATGTGTTTATTCAAATTGCTCTATCCACATACCTGACCATCATCTTGTTTAGTTGTTTAATGCCTCTCACTCAGGAAACTCCAGAAATAACTACAAATTTTAGCGCCTACTTTAATTTCGTCCAAAACTCTAATTAACATTAAACATTATTATAGGCCCTTGCTATATCTAGGGCAACGGGCACGGTAGGTATATTATCAGAGTAACCTATTTGCATCTGTGAAAATAAACGAGTAAGATCATCTATTATACACGACTGCGACTTTCTAAACCTCCCTGTATATTCTGTATATTCTGATATTATTTTGTTTTTTGTTTCTGGAGTAAGGGAACATAAAACTTCCACCTGTTTTTCAGACGGCACGTAAAGTTTCGCTTTCCTGTAACCTTTTAAACATCGCATTCTATTCCATAGGTCAGATACCGATGTGTCATTGTCAACAGAACTACAGAAGTTACCTCAGTTTTGACTACGTGCTTTTGCAATGGCTCTTAAACACTTTTTAGATTGATTCTCAAATAGAATGACATATCAGGGGTAGGATTTCTTCAAAAATTTCCTAAGGCTTTTCTACGCCTAGCTACTTCTAACGAAAGATTAGAGCTCCAGTATGGTTTGGTTTAAATTTATTTTTGTTGGATGAGTACATATTTTAAATAAGTGATACTGTTATCCGGTGCTTGTCAAGTTATTGTATAAAGTAATCGTATTTGTCGAGCGTCATCATCCACTGTTCTAAAGCCGCGTCCCATAACTGTGTCCCTCGAGCGTCCGTTTTATGAGACCAATTTGTGTGGTAGCCATTAAAGTCGCCAATTACTAAGGAGTTATGTTTAAATTTTTCAAATATTTCCTCCCAATCAGATGTGTTTATTTGTTAGTTGTATGATGTAGTGTAGTAGTGATTGTAGTGTGTATGATGGGCAATAAATGTTTTGTAAGTTATTGCAATTTGTCAATTTAACATGTAGTATTTATATGTCACTATTACGGATATTAATACGACATCTATATGCTTCAATAGATTTGTGGATTATGATTGCCACCCCACGTACCCATTTATTCTATCATGCCTAAATACATTTTATGAGTATGACTGAATGTTAATGACTAGTTCTCCATTCAACCAAGTCTTGCAGATAAGGGTTATATGTATTTTTTCTTTGGTTAGTATTTCACCTAAATTAAATAACTTTGGTTTCAAACTCTGTCCGTTCCACTGTACCGACTTTTTGGGAAATACACTATCCATTGAAAATTGAAAATAATTTTTGTAACATACCTGCTTTCTTTAATAGACTACTTATAAATTGTTTTACCTCGCCGAATATTGTTTTAAAACACATTAATTTTTTTTCCATACTATTTGCTGACAAAATTATGTTTATCACTTTAAAAAATAATGTAATCCAATCATAGTGGTTATCTTCTTTTCTATCCTGTTTTACTTTTTTTGTCTTTGTAACCTGGAAGTTCTTCACTCCATGTCACCCATTGATCTTCTAAAAGACTTATACTCTTAGTTTGTCTGTCTATTTTTGTAGTTTTTCTTTTGGGGCGTTACTATCCCAGTAACTTTGTTTTTGCTTTACCGGTTCCTCAATATTAGATGTTTGCTTCGCTCGTTTTGGGTTCTTCGCCACTATTCTGCTGTATGTCCCACAATTCTGGATGACTGTGCATAATGGCGTATTCTGATCGCTATTAATTATGTTACAAATTAGTACTTGACTCCTCCGCTTTTCTACTTTGTTTGCAGTATATATTTGTAACGCTTTTCGGTACGGAATGTTATTCCTGGCCATAATCTGTCGTATATCTTTTTCACTTATATATAATAGACATTGCTTGTCCAAAACAAAGTTCTGCCCTCCACAATTTAGACATTTGTATTCATTTATATCGCAATTGTGATGATCACCTCTGCATTGCGGGCTTTTTTTTTTAACCCCTGTCACTCAATGTACAGGATGTTTCACAAATGCTTTCACTCGGAATCGACAACCCAGAACGTGCACATATTGTGATAACGACGAACCTTCAAAACATACTCTCACCGATTCACTATCTACCCAGTTGGGGATTTCTTTGTTAACCTTTCACCTAATAATATTTTCGTATTAGACTTAAAATATCAATAATATCTTTTGCATCTAAATATCAGTATATCAACACCCTTGATGATACCAAACGACATTATGGATTCATTTGTTAAGTAACGTCTGTATGCCATTTCAATAATGACTCAGTATCCTCCTTTCAAATCAAATCAAATCAAATCGAATAATTACTCTAAATGGACTTTCATATTTTAATCTTAATGTGTTGTTAATATTTTCGTTACGCATTAACCTTACAACAGTTGCTTCTTGTAACAGTTATAAACTCTTCATCATTACTTTTTTCTTCTCTCTCCTTTCTTTTCAATCATCTCCTTCAACTCTTGTTCACACTGTCTTATTATTACTGTATCACTATTTGACATTAGCTCTTCGTCATCGCTCTCTTCGACCATTATTATTTTTATATATTCTCTCGGGTACTATAATAAAGTCAGTCACAGGGCTGTTGATGAAACGCGTACGCACGATGCAACAGACCGCGCAAGACTGTGGTTTCGAGAGTTCTTTTGAAAAAAAAAAAAGTTCATATTTGGCCTGTATGCGGCGGTATTCCTGTCTTTATCAGTATGATAAAGACAGGAATACCGGATTATAACATATGCAATGTTTTTTTCAATGATCGTAGTGCATCCTAAAGTTGTCTAGAAAATATTGCTTGCCACTTATTAAACTTGTACACCTATAAAATATATAAATACTTAAATAAAATGTTTTTGTAATCAAATTCGACATAGCGTTTTACTGTATTAGGTAATCTATTGAACTTTAAATTTAATAAAAAGCGTCTTAAAATTTAAAACATATTTAGAAATGTCAGTTATCCTATATTTCAAGAAATTGTGTAGAATACAAAATGCAATAAATAGACACTATTGTCATCGTATGGACGCGACATTTATGTAGTTATTGATAAAGAGGATGATACCGCATTTGAACTGATTGATTAGAAACTAATACTTTGCGCTTTTGCGGCGATTAAATAGATGCAACATAATTCTTAACCTTAATACACCTTTAATCTTTTATTTAATAAATACAAAGCCATAAGCAATCTGAAGAAAACAGTTCGACATTCACAGGATTAAACATTGAATACATCGCCAGCTGCATTGCACTGGACTTTTCAGTAAAATAGTTTGTGTTTTGTCTCATTTAAGCTTTCAATTCCATTGTCTACAGGACAAAGAAAATAAGATGGGGTAAGGTCGTGTTTCATGTCTTGGAAGTGGCCGCCATTATATTTCACATCTGCTTTCTTTGGGAGAGATTCGTCAGACCTCACTGGTCGGATTACGGAAAACAGAGACGGGTGGGTATCATTGAACTTTTTTCATTGATAATATCATGTTTTATTCTTTTCTATCGTTTAGGGGTTGAGACGGGTCACGAGTATTTTTATAGATAACGAGAAACAAATACCTCAAAAATATGAGGGGATAGTTTATAATGACAGCTAAACTGGAGTAATTAGGTATAGGTGTTAAGTTTCTAATGCCCTAACCAAGTGCACACTGACTGCACGAATGGCGTAGTGGTTTAAGCGGCGTGGCGACCGCTTAAACTACTTAACTACTACGCTGTTCGTCCGTGCTGTGTGGTCCGGTCTGAGTCTGGGTGTTCTTTGTGTCCGTTTCATGTATGTTTGTAAAGTCCCCCGCGACACAGGATATATTTATTCTTAATGCGGGAGTTGTATTTAAAAAAAAAAGTCAACATGGTAACTTAATAACGTTATTTTGACGGTTTTCTTACAAATCATTATTACAAAACGAAGCAATCGTTTCAGTATTTTTTCTATTACTATAATAGTAATAAATTGTATTTAATATCGCACCTGTTGTCTTATTGGTATTTTTTGCTCGTATGTAGGGGTTGATATACATACCGATATACCGTAATATGTTAAGACATTGTAGTCTAAGAACGAAGTCATTATGATGATGGCTGATGGCTATATTCTGCAATTTTAGTACCAGGGTAGCAACAGAGGCTGTATCTGTAAAGGCTTACAGAGATATGGACAACCTTTTTCTATATTAGAAATTACGAAATCTATAAGATTACTGACCGCATTGTCAGAAGACTTACTTTCTTAAATATTTTTTGAGAATTTTAGATAAGAAGGTTAATATTGTCATGGATCTAACTACATATATATTATTCCAGCGCAATCTCTGCTAACTACTGCTTGTTTGAACTTGTGAGTTTTTAAAATAAATTTAAAACACCGTACTAATTAATTATTTGAACGATTTGAATCGAATTTAATGTAATACAAATCATATTCCGTAGTCTAGATTTGTCTGACTTATTTTTTCCGTGTGTAACATGTTACAGGTTGAGGCCGGAACTATCGTGCGTGGAATGTTCGCATGTGTGGTTCCCGGCATACTATGCTTTCTGTCCATATTCTACTGCATACTTCACTCCTGGTTAAATGCTTGGGCCGAGATATTAACGTTCGGGGATCGACTTTTTTACGAGGTAAGTTACAAAAAGATTATATGGATATGAAGCCCTAAATTCTTGACATTATAACGATAAAACAATTTCTTTAAATAGTTATATCATAATGTAATAAATTGAATAATTGCTTCCAATCAATTTAAAAATGTCAAAAATAATTCTGTACCATAAATAATGCATAATGTCAGTGAAATGCATAAATTCTTACTCCATTAACAGTTTCGTTAAAAATGCTATTTTAATTAGGCTTGTGAATAAATTTACAAGAAAACGCGTCTTTTACAGGTAGAATTGTACTGTAAAAATAAAGGAAATAAAAGCCGTATTAATTTTATGCAATAGTTACTATGGTATCAATTTATTCGATGTAGCTGTTCCTACTTAGGTATAATAACTAAGTCTGCAGTCTTTTTATTTGGAAAATAATTTCTTTCCTTGTACTTGTTAATTGTATTAATTAAATACGTGTTAATTCTTGTTCTCGGTCCTAAAAATATGTGCTAGAAATGTGTACGCATTCAATTCGGAATAATGTCTAGAAAAAGCTCTCTCTCTCTCGAGCATTTATTAGCACATAATAAATTGCAATTGTTATTAACAAAAAATGATAAAAAATCTGTTTTGCGATAATAACCTAAAATTGTTAATATTTAAGATTATTTTTTTAGAGATCCTTAATGAGAAGAAAATTTCTAATAAGAAATTAGTCTGCCCGGCATTCTACGAGTATCTCCATAGTTTATAATTTTTATTTAACGCCAAATATACCGCATGACCGCAACGCTGCTTGAGACAGTAAATCATACAAAATATATTTTTTATAGTATCAAATGTATTTTTTTTAAATTATGGTACCATCAGAATACTTGAAAAAATAAAACCCCGTGGAAAAAAAAAGTTTCTTCAAAAAGTTAATGTTAAACGATTGTTAATTAACAAATTTTTATCCAATCTCTGTTCTTAGAAAGTCGACATAAAAGTTTAAATAATTGAGTTAAAAGTTTTTTGCTTCTGGGATCCCTTCTAATATACATACTTAACAAGATAACGTTATATAAGTTCAATTAAGTTTTATATTTTATTTATTACCATTTTTTTTAATTTTTTATTTTTTTTAAAACACACACATATCTTTCGTATCTTTGTATCTCATAATGGCATAATTAACGTAGGATTTATTTACGTCATTTAATAAGAAATTTTTTGTAAACAAATGGTCAAGTATAATATTTTAAAAAATCTTGCCATGTCAAGGCAAAATGATGTTTTCTTTTCGTTATAATCAATTATATTTATATTGCTATTGTTTAATTAATGAAGAAATTTATTTCTTTAAAACTTCTAATTGGCATTTCTCTATTGGTCAACAGTTTCTTTACGAACAATTTGTGACCCTCGGTAAATTTTTTTCTGGCAGTAATATAAATACAAAAATAGCCATATACTATTTAACAAAATACTAAAAAAAAAATTGACTAAAAAAAAATACAAACTTTTTAATATTTATTTTTTGTTCATTTAAAATATTTTTTTTTTAGCTTGTTGACTATTGCTACTAAAAAACGGTATAGTGAATGTACATATTACAAATACTTCCATTTTTTAACTTCGTCAGAACTTACAACTGAACTATAATAATTCATTATACATAATTATATGCTATCGTATGTGGTAAAGTCATGATTACTGTTGTTGAAGTAACGTTTAGTTAACATTCTGATCGATAGGTGCCGCTGTACCAAATCCCTAAAATTAAACCGCTATGTTAAGAGTCTCCGTAGCTTAATGGCAGTGGTGATATTTTATTAAATGCATGCAGTAACTTTGCACACTTCTGAGTATCATTCAAACCTTTGTATAATACTCAGAAGAGTGCCCGTAAGGCCCGTATTAAAAAAAAAGACCTCTCAAGTATCGGTGGACCTCTGATTGCCTGAAACTAGATTTAAGTACAGATCAAAACTTAATTATAGATCTTATTATAGCACTTGTTTTAAGTTTTACTCAGTTAAAACTACTTTCAAGTATTGATGAACTTACATTCTGTTCTTAATTACGTTTCCGAATGTTCGACATTATTATTCCGTATTAGGCAGCTTAATATTTAAAAAAAAACTTACCAAGATTATTTCTGTGAATTTATATATAGTAGGTAAACTATTTGCTAGTGTATCAATGTAAACATATTAACAAGCTTTTTATTCGTCCAAAATTTAATATAATAAATGATAAAATAAAAATGACATGTTTTCAGTTATAACGGGACGTTTCAAGTTATTTATCAACACTTGTCATGTTGAATTGTCAAACAATGTTTTTTTATTTTTATATTTCTAAAATTATATTACTAGAATAATATTAATTTCTTATACTTTTAACATAAACCAAAAGGTTGTGGTGATCATAATTTAAACAAGTATCATCAACAGCCTTTACTAGTCAACTGCTGGACATATGCCTCTCCTCAGGTAAGAGGTTTTGGCCTACAATACCACGCTTGCCAGACGGGTTGGTTTGGGGTTTGTTTCAAGTTTTCCTTCTCTTTGTTTTTGTTCTGCGTAGTTTACACCCTTAGTCGGCTCTTACGACGTCCTCGGGATGAATAGGGGTGGTGACACTCTGTATTCTTAATCCGTCACCACACGGATAATGGATTAACAAGTATTGTGTGTGTAAATCGTGAATTTCAGTGAATTTAAAATCAATTAAGGTAAATTAATCTGAATTGATTATGTGTGGCAAGTAATACTTTTGTAAATAAAGTAAAGTAAATCTTTCGTAATTGATCAGAAACAAATAATCGTAAAACACATTCACTTCTCCTGAAATGCCAAAAATCCAATTTAGAAATCACCGCTTAAGACTAGTGTCAGCTTATCTCACGTTAACAAAGACCACATCTATTAGTGATTTATACTTATCATAATTCTGTCAGTTATGTGGCTCGCGGGATGCGTTGGCATGATTATCATGTCCCGCGGCAGGCCACGACGTGCCGTCGTATAATTGTATCGAAATAAAGTAATATGAGCTCTAAACTGATTGAAACATGGGCGATATCCAACTGAGCTACCAACTGGCCAGGGCGTTAAGATCAATACTAAAGTTAATTCAAGGAATATCAGTACAAATTGATAAGAAACTGACAACTTAAACCGAGCACAACATGAAATGGAGTTTGATCGAAACCCTTACCAATATTCTGGAAATATTTTTAAAGAGAAGCGCGGACAGCTGCTTCTAACGGCCGACCAGATCTACGAACACTATAAAACTGCGTATGAGGTGCCAACATATAAGAAGACCTATCATAAACCAAGTGCACAAAACCCAGCAAGCCCTCGTTTCAAATTTAATTGTAACCCGCCAACCTTAGAAGAATTAGATACCCAAATTAGAAAGAAAAATTTAAAAATCAGCTCTAGGACCCGATGGTACACTATATGTAGTAGATAAGACCATCAATGCGAAAACACCGTCTAAGTATATTCGGAAAGATCTCGTCGAGCAAAGAAATACGCACAGCTTTTGGAAAGACTAATTTTGTCCTCATAAGTAACGTTAAAAAAGCTTGGATTTACAACAACTACTTAACATCACGTCTCAACTCGCCTTTTCTGGTATACGATATAAACCAGAACCATTTAAGAACACTGGACACGAAAGTCACTAAGAAATTAAAGTCATAGCTCGGGCTAGCAACATCTGCAGACCCCTTACCGTTGCACAGGGGCTCGAATAACTTGAGAATGAAATTAAAAAGACCTTCGAAACAATATGAAAACGAGATCTACAAGAACCACGAACGCAATAAACCTAGAAATGCAGAATGAATGGTTAACTCTTGAAGAATTTTGTAACCCACTAGCTTTGAAATGGCGCACATTTATACGATTGGTCACGTGCCCTGTTATCTGTTAAAATTTTACCTCAATTTCAATTGACTCTCTCCGATCAAAATATGGGTAAGGTGGGGAAAAGCTACAAAAAAGGCTTGCACCATGTGCAGTGCGGAAATAGGTACATCCAGGCACTTACTGACAGGTTGTAAGGCGCTATTAGACCGGTTTGATTATTCACGTCGCCATGATAGGTTATTACAAATCATACGCGAAGCTTATTTATCACTTACCATGTTGCTTTTCATGTTTTTATGGCAGTGCTGATATAGTAATGATTTTGAGATTTTTTAGTCAAATTTATTATAGTTTTGTATCTCTTCGAGGGTATGTTTTAAATGTTTTTTTTTGTTTACCGTACTTGTTTTTTTTCTGTATTGCCACAAAAGGTGACGTTTGCGCTTGCTGCACAATTTTAAGCCACGTGGAATCCACTTCGGTTTAGGTCGGTTGTATATAATTCTAACTAATGGAAAGCAGAGTTCGTAAAGCATAACAAAGTTCTCATGAAATGTATTGTAATCACTATTTCGACCCCCACATCTATAGACATAGTTATTACTTAATTGTTTTAGATATTTCATAAATATGGTGAGTAATATTGTCGGTATATCGCACGTATTTTAAGAAGTTTTATGAAACAGTGCAAGTATTTATCATATTCTTACACTAAATTGTTACAGGACTGGTGGACTTCTTCCTACTTCTCACGGTATTACCGACGCTGGAATCGTGTGGTTCACTCCTGGCTACGTGATCACATCTATGTTCCTCTAGCCCCATCACTAGGACGCCCTGTGTCTACATTTATAGTATTTGCGGTAACAATTTTGCATTGGCTTTCTATTCCATAAATAATTTAAAACGTTATTTATTATCTATGAAGCATTTCTTGCATTTCGGTATATGATCACAAGAGTACCTATTAAGGATATATATATGCTATAAGTTACCTTGTTTAAGCCTAAATTACTTTACATAATAATACTAAACCAAAGATTATTGTACAAGTAAAAATCCTTTGTAGCTACCATTTCACATTAATTCTTCAAATTTTAGTCTTTCTTGTCATCACTATTCATGTTAATATCAATAATTGCGAAATATTTTTTCTGTCAGTACCGAAACTGCTGTACAACTTTTAATGACTTATAACGAACAATATGAAAAGAATAGAGTCAAAATTATAAGTACCTACTGGTTTTATCGGTATGAACAAAGGGGTTCACATACACATACCTATATTTTTATCGAAAATAAGTAATTATTAAATAATTTGGGCATGACACTTACTAAATGGCTTACAGAGGCTCTGCTGAGCAGTCTTAAACATAAATAAAACTAATAGTTACGGATCAGTTAAACGATACTTTGGTGACTAGTCGACATGTATAGCGTAAGGTACCTACTTTTACCTCAAACAAGCGTGCGTGCGCATAAGAAGTACGAGTAATTCTGTGGTAAAAAAAATAGCAAATAATTAGCAATAATTATGGTGTAAGTTTTATTACGGCCCTATGACTTGGCTACGCTATATTAACGAGGTCAATAGTCAATTCATGCCGCGAGTACTTATTTAAACAATTGATAGGTGCTCTTGCTATTGACTGAGAGTTCGAGACCGAAAACCTCTGGATGTTGCATGGCAACGTTGCCATGCATGTTACAAAGTTGCCATGTTACAAAGAATATTGCATCGCATTCATTCAATTGATTCCTTGTCACTTCTCTATTCACGCGTTTGCTAAAATTATTCAACCTTTAATTAACCTATCCTTAATGAGTGACAGAGACAAATAGTTTTTTTTGCTTTGATAAAATATTTTATTTCAACTTACTGTCAACTGAAAAGTAAACGTCTAACGCTAAAATAATAAAATAATCGTTCATAATATTTAACGAGGATTAAAATTTTATTATCATCATCATCATCATCAGCCTTTAACAGTCCACTGCTGGACATAAGCCTCTCCTTAGAAAGGAGGTTTTGGCCTACTATGCCACGCTGGCCAGACGGGTTGGTATAGGGTTTGTGTCACTTGGCCATGGAAGCGGAACATCGCAGCGACAGCCGGAAACGCGGACGCTCAGGGGACGAGGAAACCGACACGTCCTAAGAGATGATGCCACCAAAGGTGGCAAGCAGCCGTCGAGGGAGGCCACGTAAACCGGCCTCGACCTCGGTCTCGACCCCGTCAGGCTCCGCGTTCTCAAACGCGGAGTCGTACAGAAGTGTACGAGTGGACGGCGAGGCCGTAGCGGAGGAGGAGATCGCGGATCTCCTGCTCAAGGTTCGGGAGCCGGTGGGTGAAATGCCCCCCAGGCTCCCGTGTCCGTGCAGGAGAGGGCGAAAGGGGCGGTGGCCGTCATCCACAAGGTGGCCACCAAGTCCGTAAAACTTAAGGGCTCGTTTGTGATGGCCCTCAAGGACTCCTCCTCCGCTTTGTCGGAGGTCGTGGAGGGCCTAGTGAGCGATGTCTCTCGCCTACAGGTGGCCAACGAGAGGCTGACGGAGAGGGTGAACGAGCTGAGCACTCAGTTCGCCCGCTTCCAGGCGAACCTCCCCGAGCGGGAAGCCCCGTCCGCGTCCCAGCCTGCCCCTACCACCAACTCAGGGGCATTTGACTCCCAACTGCGTGAAATCCTCATCGCAGTTGGGAATATGCTGGACGGACGCCTGGCTGGCCTGGAGGCGAGACTGCCCCCTGGGCCGGTTGTGCGCCCCCCGCTCGCGTCGGCACAGCGGCCTAAGGCCGCCGCTCCGACCGCGCTCGCCGTGGTGGGAGGCCGCGTCTCTTACGCGGCGGCGGCGTCTGCCCCGACTCCATCGGCTCCCCAAAAGCCGAGGAGGGGCGGCCAAGGCACCCCCCCAGGCGCCGGCCAAGGCGCAGGCCAAAAGTGCCGGCCAAGACAGGGCCTAAAACGGCGCCGAGGAGTGGAGTGGCATTCCCTCCGCTCCCCACTCCGACACCCCTGCCGGGCCCCTCCGCACCTGCCCCCCCCAACGAGGGTTGGCAGGAGGAGAGGGGCTCCAAGAAGTCCCGAAGGCGGGCCAGAAGGGCTGCCCAAAAAGCAGCCCAAGCCCAGCCTTCGCCACCGGTGGCAACGGCCTCTACAAAGGGGCCGCGGAAGCTGCAGCCGCCCAAAAGCGGCTGTAGTGGTGACCGTGTCCCGGGGAGCACGAGGGGGATGATGTTCCGCCCGTCCGGGATTCGGAGGTAGGGGCGACTGTTCTACGGATCCGTTCCAAGAACACCGCCCCTGGGCCAGACGGGGTACCGTCCCGAATGCTGGCCCTAGCCCTCAACCACATGGCAGACCACCTCGGGGAGGTGTTCGACGCTAGCTTGGCGTCGGGACGTTTCCCTGAGTGCTGGAAGAGCGGGAAGCTGGTCCTATAAAGGAAGCCGGGATGGCCTGCGATTCGGTCGCGGCCTACAGGCCCATCGTGCTGCTGGACGAGGCGGGTAAATTGTTTGAGAGGGATCTCTCTGCCCGCATCGTCCGGCACCACTACGAGGTGGGCCTCGATCTGTCGGACGCCCAATTCGGTTTTCGGGCGGGGCGTTCGACAGTCTCCACTATCATGGGGTGCCAAAGTACCTGAGGCGGCTAGTGGCAGACTATTTAGAGGAGCGTACCGTCGTGTACGAGGACCGAGATGGTAATTTGAGGTGTCGGCCCATGTCGTGCGGTGTTCCACAGGGGTCTGTTCTTGGACCCCTCTTGTGGAACATAGGGTACGACTGGGCCCTTCGAGCCGATTTCCCCCCCGGGCTGGGTGCAATTTGTTACGCAGACGATACTCTGGTTACAGCCCGGGGGGCGAACTTCCAAGAGGCGGCGCGCCTGGCCACAAGGGGAGTCTCCCTGGTGGTCGGGCGCATTGAGGCGCTGGGCTTACGGGTGGCCCTAGATAAGACGGAGGCTCTCTTATTTCATGGGCCCCGTCGTGGTCCACCCCCTGGCGCCTCAATCGTGGTCAACTCGGTCCTCGTACAGGTTCGGGCCCAGATGAAATATCTGGGCCTGATCCTCGACGGGAGGTGGCTCTTCGACGAGCACTTCCGACAGCTTGCTCCAAAGCTGGTCGGCGCTGCGTCTGCCCTAGGGCGACTTTTGCCCAATTTGGGTGGACCCAGCGTCGCGACAAGGCGGCTGTACACGGGGGTTGTCCGGTCAATGGCACTATACGGTGCACCGGTGTGGGCGGCGGCTCTCACCGCCCAGAATAGGGCACGCCTCTGGCGCCCTCAGAGGGTAATGGCGGTCAGAGCCATACGCGGTTACCGCACCGTTTCGACGGAGGTGGCGTGCGCGTTGGCCGGAACTCCCCCGTGGGATTTGGAGGCGGAAGTGCTCGCCGACGTTTATCCTCGAGTGGCTGACTCCCGGGCGGAGAGCGGATTTCGCCCTCCGCCCGAAGACGTGGTCGAGTGGCGCAAAGCCGCTCGCCGAGCCACGATGGCTCGTTGGTCGTTCCGGCTGGAGACTCCACGCGCTGGCTTCGCCGCCATGGAGGCTCTCCAGCCGGTCATCGCCAAGTGGGCAGGGCGGCAGCACGGGACCCTTACCTTCCGGCTGACGCAGGTGCTTTCCGGGCACGGTTGCTTTGGAAAGTACCTGCACTCGGTCGCTAGGAGGGAACTGAGTCCCGCCTGCCACCACTGCGACTGCAGTGAGGACTCGGCCCAGCACACGCTGGCGGTCTGCCCCGCATGGGCGACGCAGCGCCGGGCCCTCACTGCAGTCATCGGAGGGGATCTCTCGCTACCGGCCGTAGTACGCTCCATGGCCGGTAGCGACAGTTGTTTTACCGCGGTCGCAACCTTCTGCGAGGAAGTAATCTCGCAGAAGGAGGCGGCGGAGAAGGCCCGGGAGGACGACCTCCACTCGGACCCGATCCGCCGCCGGCGAACCGGGCGGCGGAGGCGCGCCTATCACCGCCTCATGCCGCCCTGAGTGTGGCCGCGGGTGGGCGGAGTGGGTTTCCCCTCCACCCGCATTAGTCTAGCCAGCCGCGAGGGGGCGGCGTCCGCGTGAGCCGGACGTCGCCTAAAGAGAGGTAAATTTTGAGACGGGGCCCGCAACAGGAGCGGGCCGGCGCTAGGAGGGGTCCGGATGTCTTAATAACAGCTGTTCCCGGATCCCTGCTATTACAGGCGCAGAAAAAAAAAAAAAGGGGGTTTGTGTCACTTCCTGCGAGAAGTGGTTGAGGGCCTTTTCCCGCAGCGGGCGGAGCACACTCCCCCGGCGATGGCCTCCTTGGCCGGAGACGACGGGGAGCACGAGGGGGATGATGTTCCGCCCGTCCGGGATTCGGAGGTAGGGGCGACTGTTCTACGGATCCGTTCCAAGAACACCGCCCCTGGGCCAGACGGGGTACCGGCCCGAGTGCTGGCCCTAGCCCTCAACCACATGGCAGACCGCCTCGGGGAGGTGTTCGACGCTAGCTTGGCGTCGGGACGTTGCCCTGAGTGCTGGAAGAGCGGGAAGCTGGTCCTATTAAGGAAGCCGGGACGGCCTGCCGATTTGGTCGCGGCCTACAGGCCCATCGTGCTGCTGGACGAGGCGGGTAAATTGTTTGAGAGGGTTCTCTCTGCCCGCATCGTCCGGCACCTCTACGAGGTGGGCCCCGATCTGTCGGACGCCCAATTTGGTTTTCGGTCGGGGCGTTCGACAGTCGACGCTGTTTTGCACCTGAGGGCCGTGACCGAAGAGGCCGTGAGCTGTGGCGGCGTGCTGTTGGCGGTGTTATTGGACATCGCCAACGCATTCAATAGTCTGCCATTAAGCTGCATCAGGGAAGCACTCCACTATC